GTGTGGTTTGTGTGTGTGCTTGTGTGTGCGTGTGTGTGTAGGTGTCAGCCTCTCCATTATGGACGTTTTCACACGTAGGTGCACTCAGATGAGACATTAATCTCTGTGCCTCAGCTGGGTCGGTGGGGGCAGATAACCAACTCACATGCCACATCCCATTAATTGGCTAATTATCATGGCTGGTGGGGAGCGGCTCTGATCTGGACATTGGAGGCAGAGAGTGTGTCCCTGGCTGCGGCTTGCATCTCAGGGGTCACATCCTGTTGATCAATCAACAGTTGTAATGAAGCTTTTAATGGAGCTGCAGCAGGGTGACATCTTTGAGATGTCTGTAGTCCTCGTTTGTCTGTGATCAAGTAACATTAAAGCATAACAACCTTTTTCAACATGGAGTCTGTTTTACCATTTTCTCCGAGAGCTGTAATTTTTATAAAAACAACTTTTTGTCATATTTGCTGAAACTTACACTATATTCTACGGAGCCCCTAAAGGAACATGGAATTTTTAAAAAATGAAACGTTTCTCCTGCTCACGAGATAAGTATCTCGTGCTCACAAGATACTTTCTTGTGCTCACGAGAAACCTTAGGTTAAGCACAGGCAGTTGTGCTCCCTGTACGTATGCCTCTAGGCTCATTAACTGCGGTCAAGCCAGCCGTTACTAGGGTGGCCATTCGTCCGGCACAGCCTTAAGACGGACACTAATTTGTCCTCCTTTTGAGAAAATAACAAAAAAGGTCCGCCTTTTGACACATTACCTTGTTAGTTTAATACTTATTGGCTAAAAATGTGTGTCAAAATAAGTAATTTCATTGGTAAGGCTACATGTTCTGACCTATCAACACATGGCTCATTTGAATATTCAAATGAGCCATGTGTTGATGTGCCACAACACTCTCATGAGCTCAAGCTCTCAGCTACAGAGAAGGTAAGGGACTTCTGCAAATTGGTGCAGTAAAAATGCTTGATATTAAGTGTACTTGTAGTCTTATATGTGTAGAGGTCAAATATACCATCCATAGCCAGGAATTATTGAGCAATGTGTTTTTACACTACCTCAAATATAAGAAAAGATGCCACTTGGAGGTACAAACATGGAACTTTTGTTTTGGCATTTCTCCACATTGGTGCAGTAAGCACGAGATACGTATCTCGTGAGCAGGAGAAAGTATCTTGTGAGCACGAGAAACGTTAAATTTTTTATTTCTTTTTCCCATGTCCCTTTAGGGGCTCCGTAATATTCAGTTATATTCAACTTTGAGTTTCATTTAATTTAATTTGCTAGTTCATCCTTGTTTGCATGTGTCTGTTTGTTTCCACATTGTTGTATGGACAACTTCCTCAGTTTTTGGACTTTCTTCTTGATTTATTGGATTTGGGGTTTTTGGACTACTCCCTTCTGCACTTGTAAGTTTATGTTTCACCACCTTTTTCAAACGAAACCATCTGAACAGCGTCTCTGATTTTGTAACTCTGCTTACACAATTGTAATAGAAACTGTGCTTTTAACCCTGGCAGCTGGACATTCCAAAAAAGGTGTATTTTTCATGTGTTTATCCAGGGTGAAAACTTTTTTTAGACTGCTTGTATTTTCCCTAAGAGAAATCTGAGGACAATGGAGGTTAGAGTTGCCATACTGATGAGGAAAAAGGGCTGTTTGTGCTACGATGGAACGGGAACATGTCCTGAGAATCCGCGATGGTGTGTTAAATTGTAGGTGAAATTCACAAGGTCTATCCAAACTTATCATGCAACAAAAACAATGGCAGCGTCTTGGACTCTGACAAAAAGGAGTGGAAACACAACTAAATCCTCACATGGCTGTAAGGGATGAAAAAAATGTTTAAATCACACCATGCGTAATATGATGCTGAATCAGAAGACAATACATTTCTTCCCTGAGTTGAAAGAAATAAAAGGGGTTAGGCTGTTGTGTTTCTTGGTCTGTGTGCAACTGGAGATTATTGGCCCAGTAAACACGGGGCTGAGCGGTTCAGGGGAAAGCAAGTGAAAAGGGAAAGTCACAGGCGTTTATCCGCTTCTGATCCCCACCACAGGAGATTTACAGACATAATCCTAAATTCCACTGGGGGAGAACCACACGGACCTTACAAGCCATGACCAGATTACACAGATTGAGACCCACGGAGGACTAATGGAGCATGACCAGATTATGGCGTCTGAGATCCACCTGCCCTTCCTGTAGAGAGACCCTTTATGGAAGTGGTGCCATGTTGCCTGTTCTGCAATGGAAAGTCTCAAAAGTGTTACTAATGATTGTAAAGTTACTGTAAATTATCATGTGCAGATACATGTAAGGATGTATGAAAATTTGCCATGTCTCCTAAATGAATACAAGAAACAATGAAGGTTGCTCATTCTCAATATTCTGTTTTCACCAGTCAAGAAGTTCTTGAAGACACATGAAGTTCTAAAAACCTGAAACCTGAAATATGAAAAAAAAAAACAGACGGCCTTTCTCAATTGGTAGCCCCTGTACCCCAGCCCACAGGGTTAAACAAAAGGGGACTTCATTACATGAACAACCTGCTTTCTTAACCCCCTACCCAGCTAATTTTTTAAAGATCTCGAGCCATTTCTAGGACCTACAATGCTGAATATTGATAATTTATTACTTACAACTGACATTGTCCCCACTAGCACTACTGTGGTTAAACCTCCGCTTAGGAAACCACACCATGGTCTCTGAATGATAATCAACCAGTCTCTAACTTTCCATTCTATAAAAGTACCAGAAGGATTTCGGCTGTGGTTCAGAGGTAGAGCAGGCTGTCCATTAATGGCGGTTTGATCCCTGGCTCCTCTCGCTGTCGAAGTGCCCCTAAGCAAGGAAACGGAACCCCATATTCCTCCAGTTGGAGGCAGCCACTGCCATCAGTGTATGAATGTGTGTGGCATGTAGTGTACAGTGCATTGAGTGGTTGAAAGACTAGAAAGGGGCAATAAAGTACAGTCCATTTACCTCAGCAACTTTTGGCCCACGTATTTTACAGAAGATAAGACCAATTCAGCATGTTAGATGAGGAATTAAAATCGCCAATTTCAGAAAAGAGTATTTGGTCATTAACAGTATCAAATGTGTTCCTTTAGTCTGAATATATCCTTTGTCCAGTTTAAGTTTGATTTTCTGAATTTGCTGTCTTCTAGCAATGTTTGGAATAATGGTGACTGTGGTGAGTAGTCAGCTGTTCTGCAACGCATTTCTCTCTGATTTTGAAGATGATGGGTAAAATCAGTGCCTGAAAAGAGCAGATGCTCACCGGCAGTACCGGCAATTTTCAATTATTGCCCACATGCGTACCCTTACTACTTATTGCCTAACTATTTATTGCCTATCCCCACCTCCTGGTGGGTTTAGTATGCACCCTTAAAGACCTACGTAACGTTTGATTGTTTGTCTCTAGCTGCTTTGTTGTATTATTATCTTGTTGTTCTGCTCCAGGTTTTTAAAATCGTTCCCGATTTGTTTGTGTTTTCCTCTAGCTTCACCTGTCACACCAACAACTACGTTTGCTTTAGCTACTCGGATGTCCTTTGTTACCCTGTTTCCTAGTTAAGTGAAAATGTGTCTGTCAGTCAATAACTTTGTCTTAAAAAATGTTGTATGGGCATGACTCTGTCCTTCATTAGTCTCTGTATATCACCATTATTCAGGAGAGAGTATATTCACTGAATTGACAGGGTTTTGTGTAAGAAGACAACTAGGACCCGTTTTTAGTGAGCTTTCTGGCTCTAAGGAGTAATTTTCCTAGCTGTGTGAGGTCAAATTTGCGATTTGTCTCAGTGCCTTTTTTCCCAGTTGACATTAAAATTGCCCGTAATAATGACTTCCTGCATTCCCTAAAAATAGTGCATCATTTTCAGAGGATACAGATTTTGCAGAGGGCAGTGTGAACTCCAACAAGGATTAAAGACATTTGTAGCAACAGTTTGACATCTAGAAAGATTCTCAACAGAGCACTGGATGTCTTTACACACTGTAATTTAACAAAAAAACTGATTACATTTAAAATTTTAAGTAAAACTAACTTAATTTTGTAATTTTTATTTGTACTGTGAAAACAAAATACCTAGTAAAAAGTACTTAATCAGGAATGTTTCTTTAACTTACAAATCTAAGTTAGTGTCACTTAAAATGACTTCAATTGTAATGTAATACATTTCAACAGTTTTTTGTGTTAAAATAACTTTTGCATCACATTGTTGATCAAGTAGCTTTACTAATTCTAACAGACACTGACTTAATTTTGTAATTTTCATTTGTAGTTTGTAAATAAAATACATAGTAAAATGTACTTAATCAGGAATGTTTATAAAACTAAGTTAGTGTCAATTACGAGTAAAAGCTGCTTCATCAAGAATCTTTTGAACTTGCAAAAACTAAGTTTGTGTTAATAACATTTTCAATATAATCTGTTAAAATTAATTTGCATCCCATTACAGTGCATGATATGTGATCTTAATATAAAACAACAACTCCCCACCTCTACCCATGGCTCTATCTTTCTTGAAGGCATAAAATGGTAATTTAATCACTTTTTGAGATAATTGATGTAGTTTTTCAGCTGAATGCTACAGTACTTACAGTCAATTGTGAATACTGTACACTTTCTAAAAAACACTGTTTGTTGTCCCACAAGAACGAGTGCCTAAGCTGCATGTCTATCCTATCTCTCCCTCCCTATTTTCTCCTTGTCATCTGTTTTCACTCTCTCCCCTAGCTTTCGGTGTTCTCATTTCAAACGTGTTGGATTGGGATTTTTCTCCTCCAGGAAGATTCAGTCCCTCATCTTGTCTCTCTCTTTCTCTTGTGTGAATGTTGCCCCTGTCTCTCTGTCCTCCTGTTTCCTTTCTCCTATCCATGATGGAGAAGCATGTGTGTGATGGCGCCTGAGAGTTGCTTGGAGCTCTCATACATCCATATTTTTCATGATTTTCTCATCCTGATTAATACTAATTTTACTGAAGGAGGGGGTTACATACGCTTTAACCAACTCAAAAGGAAAAAGGCATGCTCTAAGAGTAGGTATTTTATTTTGAAAATTGACAGGATTATCTATGCTGTTTCTGTGTTTGACTTCCTGCCATTGCGATCTGCTCTGTGCTCTGGGTCGTAGCTTCCATCAAAAATAGACCAGCTGCGTATTCTTCATGGAGCAGAGTGGAGAGACACTACTGGGATGCACTGCAGCACTTCTGGTAGAATTTTGAACATTGTCTTGAACAGGAGGTATCAGCTCTGCAGTCAGTGCTGTCATACCTGCTGGAATATGGGGGTTAGAAAAGGTAAAACAAATATACACATTGTATTGTACCAAAGCACCATACATACAGGAGCCAGAGCCTTCAGTTACCAAGCTCCTCTCCTGTGGAACCAGCTTCCATTTGTGGTTCTGGAGGCAGACACCCTCACCACATTCAAGAGTAGGCTTAAGACATTCCTCTTAGATAAAGCTTATAGTTAGGGCTGGATCAGGTGAGTCCTGAACCATCCCTTAGTTATGCTGCTATAGGCCTAGACTATCGGAGGATTTCCCATGGTGCACTGAGCTCCTCTCTTACTCTCTCTCTCTCTCTTTCTGCACTCTTTCATGTTCCATTAATGCATGTTACTAACTTTACTTCTTCCCCGGAGTTCTTGTGCTTTCTCGTCTCGCAGGTTCTCATGGATCCTGGTGGAGCCTCCTGCCATGGTCCTGCTTGACTCCCATTGCTAATATCACTGATATTATTATTATTAGTATCATTGTTACTACAGATACTATTATTACTATCATCACAGAATGTTACATTTGGCGGTATGGCTCTGTTCTTGGACCTCCTTGCCCTTCCACGTGCCTACGTGGAAAACCTTAAGGCAGGGAGAGCACACCTCCCTGCCCTTCCATGTGCATACATGGAAAAGTTTAAGCCAAGGAGAGAGGCAGCAGAGACCCCCCAGGGTACAGAACAGAGCAAGCATCAATGGCAATCAGAAAATGACATTGATTAATTAGATACAACATAAAAGGAGGAGCTGGGGTGGAGGTGGGTTGCAAAGCTGCTTGTAGAGGAAGCAGCAAAGATAGGCAGGCTAAAGCAGCTTAAATAAGGCGCCATGCATGATATTCGCCAATTGGATGCTTGAGGGAATCAGCTGAGCTGTCAGCTGACTGTGTATGGTTTCCAATAGGAAGCTTAGGAGGAATCAACTGAGCCATCAGCAGATGTGTGTTTACATTAGCTGTGATCAGCTGATATAGCTGGAATTGAGAGCTGAGCTTGACTTCGTGGCCTTCCTGAACTAACGCTATGCTTAATTTGTTGCTACTGTTGTTGCTCTGCACGTCTGTCTGTCTGTCTCAACCCAAATGGTCGAGGCAGACGGCCACCCACCTAGAGCCGAAGGGTCTGTCCTAGGCGGTCTAGACCTGCTCTATTTGAAAAGCGTCCTGAGATAACTTCTGTTATGAATTGGCGCTATACAAATAAAATTGAATTGAATTGAATTGTTTAATCTAGTGGTGGATGTTATACATCTTTCACATGGGTATTTTTTTTATCAACTGACATTATAGAGATTGTGTTATTGTGTTATATTATTCTAGTTTATGCTGAGTAGTTCCTTATTAGGTGAGGGGTATTACAATTTTTCTCAATTGTTTACACACAAATACTGGTACTTGAGACACAATGACCACAACATGTAACTCATGCACCGACCCCCTGAACCAATTCTGCTAAACTACAAGCACAATTCCTGCTTTACACTCAAATTGCAGTTCTAAAACACACTTTTTTCAAAACACTACACACAATTCTCTGCAATTGGCACAATTTTCATGAAGAAAATATCTTGTTTTCACAAGGAACACACTGTCATTCAAAATTCTAAAGTTAATTGCCCTACTATGCACACTGACATGGGCAAACACCTGTCACACAGTGTTACAATTAGCAATCAGAGCTTTAGCATAAAAGGGCAACAGGTGAGCTCTTCTGTTTTGGAGCAATGGATGCCAACATTGGAAACAGAGCCAGAGCCAGAGCCAGAGGAGTAAGAGTAAGAATAAGAATAAGAGGAGGAGGACGGGGAGGACGAGGACGAGGAAGGCCAAGGCCAAGGACCGTAATCTCTGATGAGATCCGAGCCACTTTGGTTGACCATGTGGTCAACCATGGTCTAACAATGAGGGAGGCTGGGCAAAGAGTACGGCCAAATTTGAGCAGGCACACTGAAGCATCCATCATCCGGACTTTCCGAAATGAGAATAGGTAAGAAATCTACTCTCACTAGAAAATTGCAGTACTGCATATCAATACAGTACTCAGTGAGTACAGTAGTACAGTATTGCCTGTGGACTGTTCTGTAGGACTGTAGAAATAAACAGTACACAGTATTGACAGTATTTTACTTTTTGTTTGGCAGAACTGAAAGATTACCAACACAAGGTGGTCGGGAACGTCTTCTGTCTCCTGAACAGGAAACTGAAATCAGGAACATGGTCCTAGAAAATAACGCAAAAACATTACGGCAAATACAAAGAAAAATAATAGAAAACAATGAGATATTACAAAATATTGATAGGGTAAGATTATCAACACTGGACCGTGTCTTGTGCAGAAATAATCTGAGGATGAAGCAGGTCTACAGGGTGCCATTTGAACGCAGAAAAGAGAGAGTCAAAGAATTGCGATATAACTATGTGCATAGGTGAGTCCTATACAATCCCCATTGATGCATACTCTCAACACTGGATAAATTATACATATTTCAGTATTGTAATCATAATGATTGTGCTTCACAATAGTGACCACTCCATGTCTATTTCTGATATTGTCTGTATGTGTGTTTCAGAGAGTCCTTGAGCTAGAGGTGGCTGCAGTGGAGCACCAGTTCATCTTCATTGATGAGGTTGGATTCAACCTCACAAAAACACGAAGGAGGGAAGGAATATCATCGGCCAGCGTGCCATTGCTGAAGTCCCTGGCCAGTGCGGAGGGAACATCACAATGTGTGCAGCGATTACCCACCACGCCGTCATCCATCACCATCCTACCCTTGGCCCCTACAACACTGCCCATCTGATCACATTCCTGGACACCCTACACAACACACTCATTCTACCAGATCAGATAGACGGCCCAGAGCAGTACGTTGTCATTTGGGACAACGTAAGTTTCCACCGGGCTGCTCTGGTTCGTAACTGGTTCACTGCCCACCCACGCTTTAATTATCTCCCTCCATATTCTCCATTCCTCAATCCTATTGAGGAACTTTTTTTTCTGCCTGGAGATGGAAAGTGTATGACCGAAATCCACAAACGCATATACCCCTTCTCCAAGCTATGGAAGACGCATGTAGAGATATAGCAGTTGATGCTTTTCATGGCTGGATTCGCCATGCTAGGCGATATTTCCCCCGCTGCTTGGCCAGGGAAAACATTGCTTATGACGTGGATGAGGTGCTGTGGCCAGACCGAAACAGAAGAGAGGATGCAGCATAGTTTTTTTTTTTTTACAGTAACTGTATACAGTAAATTCTTCTGTTTTGTATGCAGACCACTGTATGTGCAACTTTGTGTTGGTTGGGATGTCACTGTGTACATTGTTTTTGTGGGAAAAATAAAATATATTTGTTACCGTGTATTTGTGTGTTTATTTATTTAGTATAAAAACAATATTCTCAAATATTTTACAACACACTTATGTATGTACTGTCTGTAGTAAGTGTAACACTGAACAAAAAAAGGCCTAAGTCATTATGATGAATGGAGAAGAAGTGTTTTCCATTCATCATAGTGTTTTACACTGAGCACATCAGTGTTCAACTCGTTCTTATAAATGTCTATTCATATGATGGTTTGTGTGTGTCATTTGAAAATAAAATACCATTTTGAGAATGGTATGAGGCATGCTTTCAGAAAATGTGTGTAAACAATCGAGAAAAACTGTAATATACACCGATCAGCCAGTCTTAGCAGTGATAGGTGAAGTGAATACCACTGATTATCTGGTTATCATGGCTCCTGTCAGTGGGTGGGATATATTAGGCAGCAAGTGAACATTTTGTCCTCAAAGTTGATGTTAGAAGCAGGAAAAATGGGCAGCGTGAGGATTTGAGCGACTTTGACAAGGGTCACATTGTGATGGCTAGACGACTGGGTCAGAGCATCTCCAGACCTGCAGCTCTTGTGGGGGGTTACTGGTCTGCAGTGGTCAGTACCTATCAAAGGTGCTCCAAGGAAGGAAAAGTAGTGAACCAGAGACAGGGTCATAGGCTGGCCCATAGCCCAAATAGCTGAAAAAGTTAATGCTGCAGACCATATACACCATTTCATGGAAACCATATGGCAGTGACCTCTTCCAGTAGTATAATTCAATTTCAATTTTTATTTATAATGTGCTGTGCAACAAAGCAAAAATGGTATGGAATGGTTTGAGGAACACAACGATGAGTTCAAGTTGTTGACTTGGCCTCCAAATTCCCTAATCCCTAGGGATGGGGATCGTTAATATTTATTGATATCGATACCTTTTATCGATACTCCTAATCGATCCGAGTCTTTATCGATACCACTATTTGGTGGAAAGACGACGTGACAATATGTTTTTAACAGAACTGGTATTGCTTTTATTGCTGAACAAGTGAGCATAACAAAAACGTTTCTAGCCTTCAATAAACATGGCTAATGTAATAGGCCACTTTGAAATGACATAAAACTAACAATAGAAAGAATATATCAGCAGTACCAAATGAAAAATAAAATGTCATAATGTATATAAATTAAATAAATAATATGCCTAACCTAATAGTCGTTTTACTGAGCCAACCTGAACACATCATCACGCAGCACGTCTGAAACTTTATTTACTTTTCAAACGAACTAGCTTGTATGCTGCCGATTACAACATGGATTTCACAATTGGAAAACTATTTTTAACTGACGGGACAAGCTGCAAAGTCTGTGTGCGCCTACCGCTGGTACTTTGAGTGGATGATGAAGATGGGCCCGTCTGTGGTGCGGCAGCAGCAGCAGGAGGAGGAGGAGGAGGAGACAGAGTCTTTTCAACCCGGAGACAGTCGAAGGTACTGCATTTGGCCTTTATTTGATGCACAATGCTAATGTGCTTGGCCATTGAGGTTGTGTTCCCCCCTTTACAAGAAATGATTTTGCAACATAAGTTGCATTTCGCTTCCTCTTTATCTTTGAGCTTGGCAAAATGAAGCCAAACTGTTGACCTTTTCGCCCGTTCAGCCATCCTCGTGAGCGAAGTTAACTGCCAGACTTCACTTGTTTTACTTTTAATACCTGTTGGCTTACAATTTCATTCAAAACCATTGGTGGACACGCTGCAGTGATTGGATTGATTAGATTTAAATGCGTTGACGCGACTCGAGGGACACAATTACGTTACAGGACCTACGGGAGAAAAAAAAACGACGAGACTCGATAGCGGTATCGATAAGTCCAAATGTTATTGATTTTCGGGTTTTGAAAAAAGTGGAACCGGGTCCTTGATAGAACCGGGTTTCGATCCCCATCCCTACTAATCCCTCCCTCCTGATCCATGGATTCCCCACCTCACAATTTACAGGATATAAAGGATCTGCTGCCAACGTGTTGGTACCAGATACCACAGCACACCTTCAAAGGTCTAGTGGAGGAGGAGTCCCTGCCTTGATGGCTCAGGACTGATAAGGGGCAAAAGGCGAACCTATACAATATTAGGCAGATAGTCATAATGTTAAGGCTCACCAGTGTATATATCAATAGCTTATATTTTGATACATTTTGTGGACACAGGGTCTTACGTATGAAATGTCATGAAATGTTACGAAATGTGTTTTAAAATTTTCTAAGATTGTATTAAGATGAAAACAATGTCATGTTTGTCCTCTCTCCTTTTTTCCCCAGCCTACGTTGAATGAATCTCTAATTAAGGGAGGTTATGAGGGTTAAGATTAAGAGAACATGAGTCTCTGTTCAGACCGACTCTGAAGACAAAACATTAATAATTCCTTAAAGTTTGTTACCTTACCTCTATGTGCTCCAGTATACACTGGAATATATCCATTGCTTGTCAGTCTGCCCTGGGATAGGAATCCCTCCTCTGTTTCTCTTCCTAAGGTTTCTTCCATTTTCTTCTCCATTAAAGGGCTTTTTGGGGGAGTTTTGGAGAGTTTTGGAGAATTTGAGGGTGTGAGGTCTATCCTTAGAGGGGACTCAATTTGAAATGTAGAACCATTAGATCACTGCTTCCCAACCTATCTCAGCATTTGTTTCACATCTGAAGAAAAGTAAATGTAAATTAATTAAATTGTTAATTGTCTAATAGAACAAGTCAAATGTCAGGGACAAGAAAACACTGAATTTGTCAAAAAATAAGCTGAATAAGTCTGTATGATAGTTAATAAGTTTTAAAAAATACATAATACAGACATAGCATTGTATAAACTGTTTCCTAAACAGCAAATAATCTGCTCAAAATTCATCCAAATCATTTGTTTTACACAAACTTCTTGCAGTTACTGAGTTCACTATTTTGGTTCATTGTACAGTTTTGAATGTAATATGAAATATCCACTGCTGTAGAATAATGTTAGGCTTTGTTTAAAGTGTATTTGTACAGGTGCCACACACACCCCTGTAAAACACTTCTAATATACCGGTTTTCCTGCAGGTTTGTGCGCTGTGGAGCACACAGAGTGATACTGTATGTCCCACTGGGTGGCAGGTGCTGTGCTACAGGGACAACAAATAGCAGCAGCCTTGCATTGTTTGTTCTATTAGCCAACAGCAGAGTTACAAGCAAAGCTACTAAAAATGGGAAATCCATGTGTAAATCACTTCTTCATAATCCGTTACTGCAGCAACAAGCTCAGTCTGCCGCCGGCTGTGGGCTGAATGAAAACACGACAAAGCCATCAAGGCGCCTCATCTGTAATCCTTCCCCAGGATACAGCTCACAAAACAACAGCACAAAAAATAAAAACGCTGTGTTTTGTTCCACTGCAATCAATAGGGCCAACAAATAGTATGTAACACTGTGTGGTGAAGCTGTACTGTACATATAAACTGGTCGAGAGGAGAAAAAGTTTGGCTGAGGTCCCCTCTGAGATCACTGTAATTAAACTTTTAATAAGCCCAGGGTCGAAGCGCTTGGCAACTTCAACAGCAAAATGATTTGGAAATTAAGGGATGTCAAGTGTGTTTACCTGTGATTAAGGGCCACACAAAGTCTCAAAGGGCTTTAGGATGGACAAATTGTTAAACAGCAAGTCAGAGCCTCCACAAGAACAAGGAAATCATTTGTAGAGAACAACTAAAAACAACACATGAGTCACCTCAAAGGAGGTGAACAAAGAGGAATGCTCGCTTCCAGGAAGCTCAGGTGTGCAGTGTGTAGAGTGGGAACACTGAATGTACATGACTTTTGAACTCACAGATTTTTACAATATTAACTCAATATTCAACATTTAAGACCGATATTTCTTAAGACAAGAATAACGTTTACCACTGTGATATGACATGCGATCCCACTCCAGTTATTGACTCTATGTCAGGGGCTCTCAAACTTATGATTTTTATTCAAGTTTCAATTTCAGGATTGTTTAATTTTTTTATTTAAATTTTTTTATTTTATTCATTTCAACAACAGCAGTTGAAAAATGCTAAGCACCCACCATACTGTTAGAAAACATTACACATAACAAATTGCATTTATAACACAAGGTATGGACTGAGTCCGGATTGACTTGCCATTCATCTGAGAAGGTCCAGACTTACTTTGAGTCTCAAGGTAAGATGAAGAATGCAGTTTGACACGCTCCATAGGAGTCCAAACAAAACACAGTGATACAATGATAAGTGATACAACATTTGGTAAAAATGTTTGAATTTGAATATAGTACTATACAACGCCCCATAGCTTTCTATATCTATAAAAACTAAATGATTCAGTAAAATAAACTGATCACTTGAAATGCAGCCAAAAACAGTTTGTTACTGCTCTACCTGTGCCTTCCTAAGGGCCTGCTCCATGCCATATAATACAGGGGTCATACCTGGGACATTTTCATAAGGAAATATAAAAATAATAGATTGGGCGACAAAGATAAAATTAAAATTTTTACTGAAATGAGAAATTTGGATCCTACAGTGAATATCACAATAAACAGACTGCCTAAAACTAACCAACCCAACCCCACAGGTCTCATGTATGACATTTTGATTGGACTCAGCAGAACATGAGAACTGTGCATATTGGCTTCAGGTGGCGCGAACAATGGCAACAACCATAGATCAAAGGTAACACAAGACAGGCACTCTACTAAAAGGGGCCAGTAATACTAATGACAATCATATTATAACAAATAAATACCCTAATAAAGAAACCAGCAGTGTCACCTTGGCATTTCTTTTGATGGGCTGTAGTAAAAATCAATGAGGTTTGAAATTTAACACATGCTCAGTCATCATGTCATATTAACATAGGAGGTGTCCTGGTTGTTTTCAGGTTAAGACACATACCATATAGCCGCAAACATAATTTCATTACTTTCTCTTCCTGCTACAACTAGAATCCAGACACTGCTGGATTATTTTATAGCGGGACATCAAAAAAGCAATATACTAATATAAAACTGAGTATATGGGCATATGGAGATGAGAAGAAGTTAAGTTGTTTCAACAAATAATACAGTTCGGGCTTTAAAATGATCCATGGTTGGTTTAAGCACTTAGCCAAATATCAAGATACAAGAGGCATCTGTTTAATTTAGGAAACAGTTCCCTTAAAAAGGATAGTTTCCCTTTTTTCAAGTTGGTCTTAAAACAATAGTCTGGTCAAACAGGTGTTACTGTTTCCTAATGAATCTCAATATAAAGCCCCCCTTACACTCAATGAACAGCCACTGACATCTGGCTTTTGTTGTCAGTGGGAAAGGGTACAATCGGCATTCATTCCAGGGTCACATGACTCTGCAGTGGTCACAGTTATTTATCAGCAGTGATGCCACAGGTTACCTTTCATGGAGTCCACCATGTTGAACTGTCATGTTACTACAGTAGCCCAGAAAGGACAAACCAAACACTAGTAGATAGTGCTGTTCGGGTTTTACATGCAGAAAGGGAGGGTGAAGCGAGTGAGTTGCTATCTCCAACTACACTGCTAAATGCCATTAAATAATACACACTGGACCTTTAACTAACTAATGCTAAAACTCATACTGACTTCAGCTCAATTTTGGAATTTATCTTTACACTGTGGATTTCATCCCCAATCACTTGCGTTATGTGTGCATTATGAAAGGATCATTTAATGAGCCCAGTATGAACAGGAGGAATGGTTAGAGCAAGCTAAATCTGTTTTAATGTACATGTGGGCATGTGAGTATTGTTTGAAGACAGACTTGTACATTATATAATACATGGAACACATTTAATGAGAGAATTTCTAAGATATTTCTTGATCTTGGGATTGTACATGTCTACAGTCGGTAAAGCGTATAAACTAAAGTAAAGCAGAGGCTCACTGCATTTTCACCCAACCAGATGAATAAAAGTAAGGAGCAGTGACAGGCAGGATAACTCGCATAACTTTGATCATGCATTATGAATTCTGGATGTATTATTCATATGGGCGGAGAAGCACAGCTCGAGGATGTGGCCTTTTCCCCCACTCCCTGGTCCTCACTCCTACATGAGGTAATCCAGCCTTGTTTTCTCTCCACTGCCTCATCTCCACCTGCAAATCAGAAAATCCCCCCCCCCCTCCCAAGGCCTCATGCTCTCCACCTATCCACCAACACATCATTTGCTCAACTGTGATATGCTATGAGTTTATCAGGGGAGAAAAGGCTTGTTTCTGTTTTTGATCACTACACTTTCTTGTACGCCGGTTTATTGATGACAAAAGCTCAGGCATGAAGGCAAAGTGAAAGTTTTTATTTCATATGTCTAGCATTATACATCACCTACACTCCAGTATCTGCTGTTTCTGAGGGCCAATATATTACAGACATCTATGCTGGGCCTCACTGATGACTATACAAAAGCAAAACTTTATTCAGTGATTTTGGTGAAAATATTTTCTGGTTTTCCTTCTGATGTCCTCAGGCTGCTAAGCTTTAAGTCTACAGAGTTTCCTGCTGGATGGATAGTTTTAACTACTTGCTAAAGTAGCTAACCGCTAATTAGCTGCTGCTAACTGTACATGCTGTTAGCAATTTCTAACTGCCGTTAGCTCAGTCAGCTATGCGGCTAACCTAACTGACCCAGCCATGGGATGCAGGGAGCCGAACTGTATTCTGTAGTCCAACAGGCGCTGTTAGTCAGGGGAAATTGTCTTCGCTCCCGGGTTTGCCTGCTTTCACTGGAAGGTAGACATTAGCTCTGGCTCATAGCGCTGAATGCATAGCAGTGGGGATGTAACACACACTCAACGGGGGAACTAAACAGGGGAAGTGATAAAGGATACCTTCAATTAACTATTTCTGGCTAACAGGTTGAATTAAATTTGACAATACTGATCAAAGGACGTTCTGCTACTAGGGTCCACATCAGTTTCTCTCGCGATTCTCGTCTTGCACGCTTAAATCTGGACTTGTTGTCTTATAATAGTAACAAAAATCTTGAGAACATCCTCCTCTGGTGTATTTAGTTCCATTGTGCATAATGTATCAGATCACTCATTAGGTCTACTCCCGCAGCTTGTCGGATAAGTGATGGAGAGGCTCATCTTAGACTTAATAATAACTGTAATCTTGGGTCACAACAACCATTTGGACTAATTTGCTATTCACTGTAGTGGCACTTCCCTGCAATCCATCTAGAATGATAAGCCTGTCTGTGATTCAAAGAGCTGAGAATTGGATTGTTTTATGTTTTAAGAATCAAATAAAACCAAACCAATTAGAAGGAGAGTACTGGGTGTGATAAATGTCTCTGATCACAGGGAGAGTGTTCTCTATAAATTAGCAGATGGAAAGGTTGTAAATATTCACAATATCTGGCATTCAAGGAGCCAGGCATTTGCAGATTTTTTTCATACACACCACCAGGGTTACTTCTAAGACCATTCCCTGGTGCCTCAGGGGATTTCATTTCATTACTATTTTATAATAATTATAGTACTTTAATTATAGTTTAACTATATTCAACTTCTGTGTCATGTCATCAACACATTTCTTTCTTCTTTGTCTTTCAATAAATACCTGTACAAGCACACTAAGACCACTAGTTTTTGTAACTTCTGTGTTTGCTTCATTTGCAGCCATGGAGGTCGACACTTGTTCAAGCGTGTAGTAAACATTTTACATTTTAGGACTTTAAACGGTTGCAGATTGGTTCGGTACAGGCACAAAAACTACTTAGTTGTGTCCTGTGCTTTGTGTTAAAATAAGTATGTAACGTAAGTTATGTTACATACATAACATGAGTAATGACTTAGGCAAGTTACAAAGAAGTGAGCAAGGACTTTTGGTTTTACATGAACAGACTCCTGTGTTAAGGTCCTATGTTAGTTTGAGCCATCCATCCACCCCATCCTCCCATATGGGCACTTTCTTGCTCTTTATGCTATGTCACCTGGCCAGCTATGTCATCCAGAAATTACACTAGACAGTCCCTCCAGAATTTCACAGGCTTTTTCTTGTCGCAGCCTAAAATGGCAGCTTTTCTTAAAAAAAAATAAAATAAAATGTTATGAAATTGTGGGAGAAACTTAAAACTGCAGTATTGATTTTTATTTATTTTTTTTGGTAAATTGCATTAAAAACTTGTTCCAGTGAGAATACAAAACTGAAATTAATTAGAAAATGTAATTTCTCCACTGTGGACCCCTTCCAGCTGGTGCCCACCTTGCCTAGCAAGAGCCATGCATACCACATTAACATATTTATGTTACATAAAAGTCTGATGGACTGAAAGTAGTTGAGCTTTGGCTAAAGCCAAACATTAGGGTTCTCTCTGCCATATCCCGATGGCAGAAACCCTATAAAGTAATAAGGTTAACTAGTCGGCAAGAGATGAGAACATTTCCAGCAATCCCACGCACGTCTGTCCATTTTGAAAGCTCCTTTAAACTGTTGCCCAGTTGCAGCAGCTGCACACATCGTGTAAGCCGCAGCACAAACACACAAACACAACTCTAGAATCAGGTCATACAGCAGCTATTCAAAGAATTTACTTCCTAACTCTGCCTCTGTCGATCGATATCAACACCATCAACATGAGCTCCACAAACACAACTGTGCGCAGATACAAAGAGCGTTTGAAGTGAGAGGAAAAAAAGAGCAATGAAGGGAAGGAGAGGGATGTATCAGAATGTTAAAGAAAGGGGAAAAGACAAGGCAAATAAAGGGAACAAGGATGGAGGGAAGGAGGTGGGGAAACAAGAAGAAAGGGGTGGAAAGGATAGATGGAAAGGGAGCCAATTGGGTCCTATTGAAGTTAATCCTCATCCAGCAAGCGTCCAGCCTCCTACCTCACAATTAGAGGCAGCTGTAGCTTCAGCCATCATCTTGATATTCACTAACTGTCCTATAAACACAGTCATTAAACTGATGGATCCACCTTTATGCCCAGCATTTGCATTCTCCTCAAAGACGATGTTTACTGCCATTTGAGGGAGCAGATCTAAATGGAGGAAGTGCTGCTGCATTAGCACTTACCACCCCCCCAGAGGTGAGCACAACCTTGAAGATGGAAAACAGACTGATTTGTTTGGCTCACCCGTGAAAAATAATATTCATGCAATTATGTAGCATTTGTATTTATGGGTCACAAGTCAGGTGGCAGGCTCTAAAAGGCAGCAGATTGTTTCTGGATGAACAATGACTTATTTTTCTCATGTAGACTGTATTGTCATTATGTACTGCTAAGAAGAAACAGCAAGGATATATTTATAACTGGAATAGCTCTTAAATGGCATTTACTAATGTTCTTAATTAAATACTTTGCACATGATGTGCTCCATTTATTACTGCAGGCATACCGGTTACAGCAATAATCTATTCATTATTCATGACTTCATTATTTACCATTAGAATAATAAAACATTACAAGATAATGGATCTTTTTTGGCATCCGTTTGATGTTGTCATAGCCTCTGTCAGACTGACATTCATGAAAGCAAACCTTCACAGTAAAATCAGTTTATTTCCATGGAATCGCTGGGAACCTTGGATTTGCTGGCGCACTATGGACCAATACGTGGCAGATAGCAAGTTCAAGTTATTTTGGCTTAAAATAAAACAAACCTTAAAGTACCCTTAATAATTCCTTATTTTTTTCTCTGACAACACCGTAATATAAAATGTTTGGTATGGTAGCCAGAGATACCTTAACTTGCCCATTAACACCAGCACCGCCAAGACGCTCTTGTACAAACGTTGGGTAACACATTAAGCATTAGTTAAGCATTAATAGATACTGAATTCATCATTTATAATGCATTTTTCTGACATGAATACACATTAGTACGTAGTTTATAAACAGTTAAAAATGTTTTATTCATCATTGATAAGCACATTAGTTATGGATTAGTAAATAGTGAATTCAGTATTTACTAATCCATAACTAATGTGCTTATCAATGATGAATAAAACATTTTTAACTGGGTTTATAAACTACTTACTAATGTGTATTCATGTCAGAAAACTGCGTTATGAATGATGAATTCAGTATCTATTAATGCTTAACTAATGCTTAATAGTGTGTACTCATTATAAAGTGTGTACCCAAACCTTGTAGAAAACTACGAGTCTAAATGGACTGTACTTGTATAGCGTTTTTTTAGTCTTCCGACCACTCAAAGCACTTTTACACTACATGCCACATTCACCATTTCACACAGTGATGGCAAAGTCCATCGAACAGAAACAGACATTCACACACCGATGCACAGCATCAGGAGCAATTTGGGGTTCAGTATCTTACTCAAGGACACTTCGACACATGGCGGGAGAAGCCGGGATCGAACCATCAACCTTCCGATTAGTGGACAACCCGCTCTGCCTCTGAGCCACAGCCACCCGTTTACAGCCCACAACTCTACCTAAATGTGTTTCTGATGTTTTCTGAAGCCTAGAAGGTAGTAAAATAAAACTTCGAGCATTTATACCTCCAACCGCCGCCACAATTGAGTTGACTGCAGCTGCCATATACGTTATTTATTTATTAATATAAAAAGAGTGGAGTGGTAACCTCAGAGCAAAGGGCAGAGCGAAGGGAGTAAAACAGACTTTATGATCTAAAAATTGCTATATTAACTACATTTATGAATTATGTAGAACTTGGAGGCATTCTTGTTTAGTTAGGTGACTTCATGACAACCTTATATACTCACCCAACCAGCCAGGTGTGTTTTGGGTAGACAGGTGGAGGCTGTGGTTGTAGTTGTATGATCAATTTATCAAACACCTGTCGACTCTCATCTACTGCTTTTCCAACCAACTGAGCATGTTGAATTGGCGGCGGGTACCATCGGTGAGACAAATCACTCTGATTGGCTGTTCAGCTTAAGTGAATCAGTGGACGAGAAGAGAAACAAGTGAACAAATATTTCATCCATATGGCACATCTGCAGTCCTAGGTCTTCCAGTGTTATTTTTTGAATGATGAATGAAGACTACTGCCACCTGCTGGTAAGGGGAGCACTAACCTCTCGCACATCGGTTGAATGTACATACTAGATGGTTGTTTGCTGTTGTCGGTGTGGTGTGTTCTGGTGTCACTTTTTTGCCAAGACACAGGTCACGTGAGGAGACACAACAGTCGTCTCTTGTCACCGCTGTTTCTTTGACAAGTTTTCCACCCACTGTAGTTCTCTTAGTGGTATTCAGTTGGTTCACCACTAGATGCCACAAAATCCTACATACTGGTCCTTTTAGTAAAAGAGGAGAAAGTCATTTCAGTTTGAGTGTGTGATATGCAACATTCCTGTCCCCTGCCTTTGATATCAACGTGTGACAGAGTGACAACAAAACTGATCTTATCTTGGCAACACAAAGGATTTCAAAATAGAAGAGAAGCATCCCCACACAGGAAAAGATAAACTGATGCCCATACAGTAAAAGAAAATCAGACAACAAATGTCAGCTTTTCTAGAGGTTGCTGAATACCCGTCTCTCCTCCTTTCAGCCCAGAGTGACTCTCCCAGACAATCTGTCTGTCTCTAGTAGTGAGAGCTGTAGAGGTTCGTCTATGTAGTGATGCCTATACTGTCTTGTTTTATTGAGCAATAACAAGTGATTTTAATAAAACATTTACAACTCTCTGCTCCATAAGACTGTAGGAGTCAGCCATCCTATTGTTTAAAACAGGTGGGAAATATACCTGTTGCTGCTGTTTTTATGTATTTCTCTTTTAGTCAACAGAGCCTATGAGCAGATAGGGCTGGAGTGTGCACTGGGTGAGAGACATTCATACCTACAAGTAGCCTATCTAACCTGCATGTCTTTGGACTGTAGGAGGAACCCTGAGGAAACCCACGTAGACATGGGAAGAACAGTACAAACTCCAGAAAGAAAACATTGTTGAATTATATATAGAAAAGTCTAATTTTTGTATTTCACATACCTGTTAAATGTTTAAAATGTTTGCTATCTTGAACACTATTGTGAACATAGAGGAATGCTAACGGGAGCATTGAGGGTTAGCTACTAGAGCATGTATTTAACTACTAGATTCATTACTAGACTTTCACCTAATACTTGCTAAAAAAAAAAACACTGGAGAATCACCTTGTAACTTCTATAATCAACTTTAATTAAAGTGTATCACCCCAACACTCAGTAAATGCCTAAGTTAAAGGAACTCACCTAGGAATTGAACGATGGGGTGTTTGGGTTCGATTTAATAAGGTAGCTACCACGAAGGTTGACCTGTTTTGTGTGAAACTTTTTATAGCCCAATACTTTATGAATAACCAACAACACTGTCAGACTAAGCAGTGGCTCTATCACACTTACTCTACACTACTTTAAATAACTGACCCAGACAACTCTTTCAAATGAATTAAACAATAGTTTACTAACCAGTTTAACACAAATAATATTTACCTTGTTAGTTAACAAATAGACTTTATAGATCTTTCAAATAAAAATATTATAGTTGAAATACTTAATTGTAAACAAAATACACTTTAACACTTATAATAAACAACATGGAATTGGCAATATCAAAATACATTTCAAAACTTAAATGATCTCAGGTCTCTAACATTCCTAGTTCTTACCACTTTAATATGATTTCTCTGTACTCATCAGACTCAGATCAAATATGCTACTTAACTAAAGTCCAAACAAAACAGTGGGCCCACACACACACACACACACACACACACACACACACACACAAACAATAAAAGTTGCACTGTGTGTGTTGCTCAGTGTGCGGCAGACAAATCTTTATCCTCAGTGGCAATTAACAGTCACACAGAAGATCCAACTCACGGTCTGGAATAAGTCCTGGAGAAACAGTTCATGAAGAGATGAAGATGAAAGCAAACGGCAGCAGAAGCAAAGTCCTCCTCAGGAAGCTCCTAACAGTCCTTTCCGCCAGCAATGGCGTCCTCTTGGCTAGCAACTCGCTAGCTTTAGCTTAGTTAGCACAGTCACTCTGGCAAAACTCAAGCGCCCTAATCCACTGTGTCCAAGTTACTGTCCTCAGCTACAGCTTCTTCTGTTACTGAAACATTCAGCAAGGTATCTACCATAACCTCATTATTTCTGAACTTTACTTTAGCTCCACGTTTCTCTCTCTTTCTGTCAATTCTCCTGTCTCTCTTGTTGTCGCTTTTTCCTCCCGCCCCTTTTTGGCTCACTCCCTTACCTACGGCCAATTACCAACAGGTGACACTGAGTGACATATACAGCAACCAATCAAATGAAACAGCATGAACCCATGACACAAATGTGGATATTCCTATTTAGTTTAGCACACACTGTTCTTCAGCTACTATATAGAACAGTTTATTGGAACTACTTAATCAACTATTCACACTCTACTGTATTTATTATGAATGTATGTTAATCTCTCGGTTAACATTTCATCTTTCACTGCTTTCAACATTAATTACTTTCAGTTTACTTGCATTACTGAATTATTGAATTCATTCATTTAAATAATTATTTGTATTACAAATTAACTTGTTTTAATCCCTGTACTTTTACACCAGGGTACAAAAGTATTTTTGGCGCCAATTGTTTTATCATCAACTGACATGGATTGGTTGAAACTGCTTACAAAAGTGCAGAACTAAAGAAATAACCAGTAAAATTACACTATGGGTAATATCCAAAGGATTTGTCCCATGTCTAGTCTTTGAAAGGGCATTCATTGACTCCCATAGATTTATTTTCGTTGTTGAACAGTTAACTGCTAAAACCTCTGGAAAGGCCAACCAACTGTAGGCCAAAATCTAAGCAGAAAAAACAAAAAACATTATGTCCTGGATTTATTCATTCTTTACCTTATATATTATGCAGAAGAAATGAGCTTTAAATATTCAAGCAGTCTTACTATTATCAGCCCTCTGCTCCATTGCTTTGGCAGGTATCCACTGTTATCATTGCTGGGAAGGAAATTATAGCTCTATCATCTGGCCCAGAAGCAGTGTCAGCCCACCCCAGCCATGACCTCCACCATCCCAACCGCTACTCCCAACCAGCCTCTTTTCATCTTTATTATACAGGTTGGAAGCGCTCAGCGCATCTCCAGCATAATAAAACTGGATGATCATTGTTCCGGCCTTTCTGAAAGTCAAAGCAGGTCAACAGTAGTCCAGATCACTTCAATTGAACTCAAGACATTGCCAAGACCTTGTCCAGTCCAGGTTAGAGGAAGAGCTGGTCCAAATGAGATCAAGACCATTTTCATGACCAGACCATAGCAAATGTATTAAAAAGGAAGGCCAAAATAGTTTGTGTGTGTGTGTGTGTGTGTGTGTGTGTGTGTGTGTAAAAGGATACCTGAGTAGTTTCTATAGATGTGCCTGCAGGAGCTGTGGAATAATGCACTCTAGCATTGCTAGGGCGGCTGTGGCTCAGAGGTAGAGTGGATCGTCCTATAATCGGACGGTTGTTGGTTCGATCCTCCCGCTGCATGTCGAAGTATCCTTGAGCAAGATACTGAACCCCAAACTGAAACCGATGCTGTGCATCGGTGTGTGAATGTGCATGAATGAGGTAGTTTCTGTTTGATGGACTTTGCCATCACTGTGTGAACATACAAAGGTTTAAATCAGTTCAATTGCCTGTAGTGGTGAGTAAAAAATAAACCAAATCAAATTACTCAATTTATGATATTTTCCTGATCCTCTAGCCAATTCTTCCAATTCAGGATCATGAGGGGCTGGATCGTTGTGATTCTGATATACTTGCTCTCGTAGGGAATCCTGTCTTAGACCACGTTCACACCGCAAGTCTTAATGCTCAATTCGGATTTTTTGTTCAGATCCAATTTTTTGTTTGGCTGTTCACATTACCTTTTAAAATGTGGCCTATATCAGATTCTAGTGTGAACTGTTTGCTGTTTCGAACTGACCCGCATGTGCAAAAAGCAATCACAATGACATCAGACGCAGCACGCTGTTGCACTAAAGTTAGGGAGGTTATGGAGGAAGTAAGCATTTTCGCTTTTATTTCAAAATGTTTGTGTAATGGCAGCCGTAACATTAATGAGCAGGTGGTGAGAAAGAGAGCCAAATTGGCTATTTTGGCCTTTTGCGGGGTTACGGCTGCAAATGACTTATTATTATTAACTTATTATTAACTCGCCGGCGCATAATTGTGACAAATGTCGATGTAGATTGACGTAAAAGTCGCATCAAATCCGCCTTGGTTGTTCACACTGCAGCCGCATTGAAAAAGTTAGACCTGGGTCTGATTCAGGACCACATATGGAAGTCATCTAAATCTGATTTGAAAAAATCAGATTTGGGCCACTTTTGCCTGCAGTCTGAACGTGGTCTTAGGCTTCACTGCGCTGTAGATCATTAATAAAAATCTTTAAATAGCAACAAGTTCCCAAGTCGTCATATATCCACTTCAAAATTTGATGCTGTACGTATCACTCTAGCATCATTTGGGGAAGAAGTGAAGGTAGCAAGAAAAAATGCAACGTACAGTTAGATTTTCAAAATAAAGCTTGTGTAGTTGATGGTCGCAAGTTGATTTCTGTGTGACTAGTAAATGTTTGTCAGGATAATCCCTGGCTGGCACCCTATAAAAATAATATAAAATACAATAAAACAAAAATAATTTTGCGTGCAAAAGCCATCAGAGTATGCCAATTATTTCGTTCTTTATACTATGTTACCTGACTTTCATTAGCATTATATGAAGAGGATGGTCACTGACCAAGCGGCAGTATTTGACAACTTCAGAGTGAGTGTTATAAATACATTTACAGGACATCATATATATGCATTCATTAGAGTCAGAACACAAACAGACATTTCTATGTCAAGTTATCTATTGATCAGTTCGTATCAGAGGTGGTGAAAGTACTGACATTACCTCAAGTAGAAGTTCAAAAACTATGAAAAAATGTTCTGGTAAAGTAAAAGTACTGATTGAACTTCTTTACTTAATTAAAATTGAAAAAAGTACAGACTCTGCAACTCTACTACTACTTGGTTTCTCTGAAGGACATCCCTACTGGCTTTCTGTGCAAAGCTAACCGAAAACCCTTAAATACGGTCTTCCTCTCTTTTCTGGTTTGTCTTTTCATGTCGTTTTCATTATGTTCCGTCTTTCATGCATGATTTGCAGCGGTCTTTATGTTGGGAAGGCGTGCAGTGATGCAAAATAATCGATAATTCCCCTCAAAAGCATTAAAAGTAACTAAAAGCCTGGTTACAGAGATTTGTTTAAAAATGAATATTCAATGAAAGCACAGATACCTGAAAAAAGTACTTAATTACTTAAGTAATTATTTTGTTACTTCCCACCTCTCATTGATATAGGAATACTCTGTGTGCTTCAGTACTATTCAGCCACGAATGACAATGCTACCATGCAGGTATAATGTTTACTATCTTAATTTATTGGGTTACAATACTAGCATTAGCTAATTAGTGCTAAACAAAGTACAGCTGAGGCTAATAGGAATGTCACTAGTTCCAGATTCCTTTGAGAGTCGATGAACTGAAGACATATTGAGTCATACTTGCATTATATTGAGCAGTAATAGAGTAGCAAAGCAGACATTTTTCCTCCATGGGAAAGTCACTGATTAATTGTCAAAGTAATCCAGCTGAGCACTTTACATAGTGACCTGTACCGTGAGGTTCTGAGCACATCAAAGCTCAGACTCCCACCTTATCCTCCATGACTGTGTACATCCCAAACAGGGCCAGACACATGTGGTGTCAGAGGTCTAATCTCCCAGCATCCCACACTGGGGGAAAAAACGTGCTCAGCTCACAAATCAATCAATAGCAATGAGGCCCAGCTTCAGGCGAGGCCAGGTACCACAGGGGGTTGTAGTGGGCTCAGTGCCAGGGGTCTGGAAGAGCCTCTTTATGCTTCTGTGTCATTTAGACAGGGTAAGCAAGACCTCAAGCAAGATTTCTCTGTTCCTCTTTCTCTCTCTTAACCATCGCCAATTAAAGCGAGCAGGGTTTTTTTCTCCTCTAATAAGAGTCGATGATTAACAGAGAGCTGGCAGGAGTGAGCCTCCTGAGCCGCAACAGACAACCACAGCAGCTCCAATGGGCTGCAGAGGGTGTTTTACATCTTACAGAGGCGTGGACTCGAGCCACAAATTTGATGACTTTAGACTCGACAAAATCCAGATAGACTTGCAACTGGACTTAGATTTGAAATACCAATGGCTTCACTTGGACATGAGCCTTTTGACTTTAAAAGACTTGATACCTTCCCCCAAGCCCAAAGATGAAAAGGTATGTTATTTAAAACAGTGTGAGATGAATCAATTAATTCCCTTCATTTCCTGAATCGATATTCAGTGTTATTCCCAACAAGCTGACAATCTATTTCCCAAATTTGTTTGAACCAATCCAACAGCATCCAATCAAGTTGCAGTCGAGAAAGCTAATTAGCTAGCTAATGAGCTATGTAGATTACCTTGCTAGTTAGCTATCATTTTATTAACATTAGCTGAATTCAGATGTGACTATCACTTTTATCTTTTAACCATCTTCAAAATTTGGTCTTTTCATACATAAGTTATTTCAGGACACTTTTCAAATAGAGCAGGTCTAAACCGAACTCTTTATAACATTATTCACAGAGACCCAACAGTTCCACCATGAGCAAGACCTTAGCGATGGCGGCAAGGAAAAACTGCCTGTTAAAGAGGCAGAAACCTCGGACAGACCCCAGCTCTAGGTGGGTGGCCGTCTGCCTCGACCAAAATATAATTTAGTTTTGTTCATTCTGGTGTTGAAATGGCCTTACATTTGGTGAAGACTACATTATGATTTGTCTAGGACTTGGGACTTGACTCTGCATTTGCCTGCCTTGACTTGAGACTTGAGTGCAAAGACTAGAGACTGGAGCTGGGCAATAAAAATAAAAACTCTAATCTTTCATAATAATTTAGAAAAATCTATTTATTTTTTTTTCTTAAAAACAATCTTCAAAAGACACCATATCTTGGGCTATGTGATCGCGTATGTAATGTTTTATCACTGGGGTCTCTTCTTATATGGGATACTATGGGGAAATTATTCTACATGTTTTATGTAGAGTGACTTTAGTGGATTGGGGAGTCCTTGGCAGCTGTATATTTCCACATTTCCACATCCAGTACAAATAATATACATTTTAC